GTTCAAGACCAGCCTGAGCAAGAGCAACACCCCATCTCTACTAAAAATAGAAAAATTAGCCAGGTGTCATGGTGGGCACCTACAGTTCTAGCTACTTAGGAGCCTGAGGCAAGAGGATCTCTTGAGCCCAAGAGTTTGAAGTTGCTGTGAGCTATGAGGCCACAACACTCTACCCAGTGCACAGAGTGAAACTCAGTCTCAAAAATATTAAAAAGGAATTATATTCAGAATCTACAAATGCCTAAGTAGCCCCAGAGTCTTTATTTCTCTAGTATTTTGGGGGGAAAAAACATTCTGATTTTAGCAAACTAAATTTACTTCTCATTTAGCATTTTCACTTCCCCTGTTACAAAGCAAGACAAGCTGGGGTGTAATTTTAGAATCTTTTTTTTTAAGTTATGTTTGGAATAACAAAACAGATTTGGAGGAATGGATATTTAATAGCCACTCTGCTATTAAAAAAGTTATGCTTGTGTTTTAAAACTTCACATCTTTGAGTAAAGGAGTCAGGCTTAAATATCATGTGTCCTGCTTTTCAACATGTGCTGTCAAATACAGTAGCCTCATGTAATTTTTGAGCACGTGAAATATTTGAAAGGTGACTAGTCCTTACTAAGATACAGTGTAAGTATGAAATATATAACTAGGCCAGGCATGGGGGGCTCACGCCTGTAATCCTAGCACTCTGGGAGGCCAAAGCAATTGGATTGCCTGAGCTCAAGAGTTTGAGGTTGCTGTGAGCTATGACACCACAGCCCTCTAGCAAGGTGACAAAGTAAGACTCCATCTCAATAAAATAAAATACACAACTGATTTTGAAAACTTATTATGAAAAAGAAGTGTAAAATATCTCATTTATATTTTTATACTGACTCATGGTATAATAATATTTCCAATATCTTGGGTTAAATTAAATATATTTCTGAAATGTATTTCACCTGCTTATTTTTCAATTTTTTAAAGTGATTACTAGAAAATTTAATGATACTTAGGTGGCATGCAACTTATTTACTCATTACTTTTTGGACAGAGTTGTTCCAGGGAGAATAACGTATCAATACAGAGAGACCATCTAAATTTCAATAAGATTTCAAGAATCAGGGAGGTTTTCAGTGGTAAAATTCCTGGAGTGTTCAACAGACCCAACTCCTGTCTTAGGAAACAGGTAAAACATGGTAATGTCTATATGTTTATGGATGTTTTCAACAACTCTCAAATTGTCATTATTCTCATCATCACTGTTGTCACCTCTTCCCTGTGTGACTAACACTTGGAATGTTCCCTTAAAGGGAAACAACCAACTTGGGTCTAGACTATGACCAAATGATGAAAAAATTAATATCTTTGAAAAAAGCAACATCTTAAGTTCCATTTTTAATTTATTGCAAAACTTTCAGATAATCAGATACGAGTAGACATCATCAGAGAGAAGAAAGTGGGAGGGCACTGAAAAAATGGAAGAAAGTGAAAGCAAAAAAATGTACAAATACCAACTTCAAAGCAATGCTTCTTAATCTGCCTAATCCCATATTATTATGTAAATGTAATAAATATATAGTTTGTTGTGGACAAAAAGAATAGTGTAGGCAAGTTATCAAAGGAATGACAATGCCAGAAAGATACAATTCAAAATGTGGTATTTAAACCATGCATTTTTTGGCTCGGCTCCTATAGCTCAGTGGTTGGGGTGCTGGTCACATGCACTGGGGCTGGTGGGTTTAAACCCAGCCCAGGCCTGCCAAACAATAATGACAATTACAACAACAACAAAAAAGTAGCTGGGCATTGTGGCAGGCACCTATAGTCCCAGCTACTTGGGAGGCTGAGGCAAGAGAATGGCTTAAGCCCAAGAGTTGGAGGTTGCTGTGA